TTAACATCGAGGAACTCGAGTAGTAAACATAGTGTTAGTACAGTAAGTGGAGAGATTATTCTGTGTGGTGAACTGTGAGCTATTTGTTGTCTTTGAAATGCCTTCGAAGAGTTAACTGACAAACAAGGTTCTCAGTGACAAAACAGAGAAATTATGAACAAATTATTGAGATTATTGCAAGCGGAAGCAATGGTAGTGGTGTTATAATGATAATAAATGAAATTTCAACAAAAATAGTATTTCTATTTTACGTACGAACTGTACGAAAAATCAAATTTGAGATGAAAAAATTGACGAGAAAAAATATTTTCGCTTCCAAATGAAAATAGATGTAACAAAAATCACAGAATGGTGATGGAAGACGCTGATTTGTCAATTTCACACAGACACCTAATTAATTTCTATGTCAAAGAGAAACGAGTTCCTACGTTTAGGGAGATTCAGAAAATTATCATCCGAAATATTGATTATTAGGGTAACAGGGAGTATTTGCGAAAAGAAATTCATAAGCTTCGATTTCGCTGGAGAAATGTGTTTTGCAGAATATCTACCGTCTACGATTCATAATCATTTCTAGTAACTATGCATTCAATTATCTATTAATTATCGGTTAGAAGTTTCATTCATTTGCTCTTAATTCATTCATATCTAACGATGAGAAGGTATGCAATACCTGGGCTGAAAAGTTCCGGGCCTAAGAAAAACAACGCGTTCTCTTTTATGGCTTCATTCATCAACGTAACCTCCATCAAGAGCCACACAATCTAGTGCCGCTAGAACATTTCAATACCACTTTTGTAGAACGATTCATCTTTTGTCTTAAAATATGCCTCAGCTTCAGTAATAACTTCTTCATTCAAGCGAATTTTTTTCCTGTGAGCATTTTTGTGAGGTCTGCCAAGAGCCAGTAGCTGGGAGCCAAATCTGGCGAATGTAGTATGTGCGAGAGCAATTTGAAGCCCAGTTCATGCAATTTTGCCATCGTTTTTATTGATTTGTGACAGCATTGTCTTGATGGAAGATCATTTTCTTTTCCTGTTTGTGTAATTTCCCTTCTCAAGATAGTTGATAACTGGACTCCAACTGACCTTATTGTAAATTCAGTTCAGGAGCGAGTCTACAGAGGAGATGGATGTCGAGTTTACGACTCCAACTGACCTCCCTGTAAATTTAGTTCAGGAGCGAGTCTACAGAGGAGATGGATGTCGAGTTTACGACTCCAACTGACCTCCCTGTAAATTTAGTTCAGGAAGGAGAGCTTATAAACTCCCCAACTCCTGATCCAATAACTGAACCTAAAAAAAAAAAAGGTTTCATGGTGCAGCCAGAAAACGACTGAGTCATCTCCTCAAGAGCGGGGTACCTTATAAAACCGTCTTGCACCAAATTCTTGAGCGGCGTACGCAGAATCTGTCTCAGGTGGGGGAACAAACCCTCCATTAGCAGGTCAGCAAACGTTTGCGCTCAAGTGATGATTCACCAAAACCAGAGGCGAAAAAGCCCTGCACGGCTGAATCTAAGGCATCGTCAGGTGTAGCTGACGTGCAAAAACCCTCATATGAGAAGGTTGTCGTGGGTATCAAGGTGGGAATCTTGCAACTTGACTATCCGACTACCTCATTAACAGAGCATATACTTTGTGTCTGCCCCGCTGGGGAACGAATCAGGTCTTTAGAGTTCGGCAGAGCCGTACTCCTACCATCTGACCTGAAAAACCACTCACCATACAAACTAATTGGCTTCGTTAAGAAGCTGGGTTTATTTGGCCGAGTGTGAATAGGTGAGCCACAATAAACCCTTGCGGGTTACGGTGGAGGGTCGAATAGACCCACTCACTTTGGACCTAACCCAATCTAACCTAGTTGATGAATGTTACACCAAGGTGCTCTCGGGCGCTTTGGACGAGGTTCACCAGTTGCTCTCCACTCAGATGATGATCGTTTTGATTCCGAAGTGAAGTGATGGATCCATGTTTCATTCATTATCACATATTGACTCAAAAATCCCGGTTCGTTATGATTAAACACTGTTAGAATCAACAAGACGTTCTTGTTTTTGGTCAATAGTGAGCTCGCGCGGCACCCACTTTGAACAAAGCTTTCTATAGTCAAATGGTCATGCAATATAAAGCCAACGCGTTCTTTTGATATCTTTACACTGTCACCTAACTCACGCAACTTTAGTTTTCGATCATTCAAAACGATTTTGTAGATATTTTTATGTTTTCTGGTGTTACTTTCTCATTTGGACGTCCACTGCGTTCTGCATCATCGGTGTCTCTACGACCACGTTTGAAGTCAGCAAACCAACGTTTATTTGTTGTTTCGATGGAGCGGAGTCCTTGTAACACTTTTCAAGCTAATGCTTCGCTTGAACGATATTTTTTTCCATTAAGAAGCAGGTTGGATAAGGTTCAAAATGAGTGGGTTTATTCGACCCTCCACCACAACCCGCAAGGGTTTATTGTGGCTCATACCTATTCACACTCGACCAAATGAATCCAGCTTCTTAACGAAGCGGATTAGATTGTATGCTGAGTGGTCTTTCAGGTCATATGGTGAGAGTACGACTCTGCTGAACTCTAAAAACATGATTCGGTCCCCAGCGTGACAGGCACAAAATATGTGCTCTGCTGTTTCATCATTTTCCAAACAGAGACGAGACATACGGTCTGTCGACAGTCCGAGTCTCTGCATATGATGATTCAAATGACAGTGACCTGTAAGAAGGCCTGTTGACATCGTAGTTCATTCCTACTGTAGTCCAACAACTGTTTGATATAGAGCTTCGAAGGGTGAATAAACGCCTTGGAGTGAGCCAATCCTGGAACATTCTACCAGAAGTCCATAGATCTTCTTGCCATCCAGGTGTTCAATGTTTGTTTGGCAAAGCCTAAAGCGATGCCAATGACAGGTTCTGGTCCGATGAAGCTGCTTGCAGCACCCTCCTTTGCAAAGTCGTCAGCAGCTCCATTGCCTTTCAGGCCAGTATGGCCAGGAATCCAGACCAGAGACAATCTGTTAAGCTAGACTGTCCGAGAATATTTTTTGATTTGTGTATGAGGTTGAATTCTTCCAATCTCTAGGCATACATTTTAATAGCGTAAATTTCCGCTTTGAATACAGTCGCATAGGTTCCTAAGCAGGTTGATATCTCTGTCTTACCTGTGTTCAGTCTGTAATTGAAAACACCTGTACCAGAACCGGAAAGTGTTTTCGATCCATCTGTGAACCAACAAGTATCTGCTCTTAATATTTCCTTCTCCCGGAGGATCCAGTCCTCTCTTCTCGGGAACAGTACTTTATAAGACAGTCCGTCATTTCCAAAATGCTGTGACTTTCAGTATTAATCAGCATTAAATTGATTTGTGTAATTGGCAATGTGCACAAGTCTATATGCAGTCCATTTCTCTCCAGCAAAATGTGGAGAGGAGGTAGATCTAGAAGGATCTCCATGGCCTCTGTGAGCCAGAGAGATTCGTTTGTGCCGTTTTCTGTAAGGCCTTCGGCCACTAGGCAATTGCACCATAAGCGATCATGGGTCTGACAATCATCACATAAATCCAATGGATTTGTTTGGGACCTGAACCCCCTTTTGAAGTTTAGTACTAACTGTAAAAGCGGTGAATGTAATAAGACTAGCGCCATTTATGTGTCAGGCTCGAGGCTTTTCAGCCCTTGGAGTATCTATTGATTGTGATTATTTATAACTAATAATCTTCCAATTATTTTTCACCAGGAGATTGCTGGTGCTTGACCATCAGCCTCAGGCGTGAAGAAATTGTAAGAGGCAATATTGTTTGTTGTTCAAGTCTGAAACTACCAATACATCGCTTAATACGGTATCAATCCATTAAGTGCATGATTCATTTTCATTCAGTTATACAGGGTGTAACATAAGTACGTTAAAATATTCAAGTGACGTATTCCTGAGACAATTTTAAGAGAAAAAGTCTATATGAACTTGTGTCCG